TATTATTATTATTATTATTATTATTATTATTATTATTATTATTATTATTATTATTATTATTATTATTATTATTATTATTATTATTATTATTATTATTATTATTATTATTATTATTATTATTATTATTATTATTATTATTATTATTATTATTATTATTATTATTATTATTATTATTATTATTATTATTATTATTATTATTATTATTATTATTATTATTATTATTATTATTATTATTATTATTATTATTATTATTATTATTATTATTATTATTATTATTATTATTATTATTATTATTATTATTATTATTATTATTATTATTATTATTATTATTATTATTATTATTATTATTATTATTATTATTATTATTATTATTATTATTATTATTATTATTATTATTATTATTATTATTATTATTATTATTATTATTATTATTATTATTATTATTATTATTATTATTATTATTATTATTATTATTATTATTATTATTATTATTATTATTATTATTATTATTATTATTATTATTATTATTATTATTATTATTATTATTATTATTATTATTATTATTATTATTATTATTATTATTATTATTATTATTATTATTATTATTATTATTATTATTATTATTATTATTATTATTATTATTATTATTATTATTATTATTATTATTATTATTATTATTATTATTATTATTATTATTATTATTATTATTATTATTATTATTATTATTATTATTATTATTATTATTATTATTATTATTATTATTATTATTATTATTATTATTATTATTATTATTATTATTATTATTATTATTATTATTATTATTATTATTATTATTATTATTATTATTATTATTATTATTATTATTATTATTATTATTATTATTATTATTATTATTATTATTATTATTATTATTATTATTATTATTATTATTATTATTATTATTATTATTATTATTATTATTATTATTATTATTATTATTATTATTATTATTATTATTATTATTATTATTATTATTATTATTATTATTATTATTATTATTATTATTATTATTATTATTATTATTATTATTATTATTATTATTATTATTATTATTATTATTATTATTATTATTATTATTATTATTATTATTATTATTATTATTATTATTATTATTATTATTATTATTATTATTATTATTATTATTATTATTATTATTATTATTATTATTATTATTATTATTATTATTATTATTATTATTATTATTATTATTATTATTATTATTATTATTATTATTATTATTATTATTATTATTATTATTATTATTATTATTATTATTATTATTATTATTATTATTATTATTATTATTATTATTATTATTATTATTATTATTATTATTATTATTATTATTATTATTATTATTATTATTATTATTATTATTATTATTATTATTATTATTATTATTATTATTATTATTATTATTATTATTATTATTATTATTATTATTATTATTATTATTATTATTATTATTATTATTATTATTATTATTATTATTATTATTATTATTATTATTATTATTATTATTATTATTATTATTATTATTATTATTATTATTATTATTATTATTATTATTATTATTATTATTATTATTATTATTATTATTATTATTATTATTATTATTATTATTATTATTATTATTATTATTATTATTATTATTATTATTATTATTATTATTATTATTATTATTATTATTATTATTATTATTATTATTATTATTATTATTATTATTATTATTATTATTATTATTATTATTATTATTATTATTATTATTATTATTATTATTATTATTATTATTATTATTATTATTATTATTATTATTATTATTATTATTATTATTATTATTATTATTATTATTATTATTATTATTATTATTATTATTATTATTATTATTATTATTATTATTATTATTATTATTATTATTATTATTATTATTATTATTATTATTATTATTATTATTATTATTATTATTATTATTATTATTATTATTATTATTATTATTATTATTATTATTATTATTATTATTATTATTATTATTATTATTATTATTATTATTATTATTATTATTATTATTATTATTATTATTATTATTATTATTATTATTATTATTATTATTATTATTATTATTATTATTATTATTATTATTATTATTATTATTATTATTATTATTATTATTATTATTATTATTATTATTATTATTATTATTATTATTATTATTATTATTATTATTATTATTATTATTATTATTATTATTATTATTATTATTATTATTATTATTATTATTATTATTATTATTATTATTATTATTATTATTATTATTATTATTATTATTATTATTATTATTATTATTATTATTATTATTATTATTATTATTATTATTATTATTATTATTATTATTATTATTATTATTATTATTATTATTATTATTATTATTATTATTATTATTATTATTATTATTATTATTATTATTATTATTATTATTATTATTATTATTATTATTATTATTATTATTATTATTATTATTATTATTATTATTATTATTATTATTATTATTATTATTATTATTATTATTATTATTATTATTATTATTATTATTATTATTATTATTATTATTATTATTATTATTATTATTATTATTATTATTATTATTATTATTATTATTATTATTATTATTATTATTATTATTATTATTATTATTATTATTATTATTATTATTATTATTATTATTATTATTATTATTATTATTATTATTATTATTATTATTATTATTATTATTATTATTATTATTATTATTATTATTATTATTATTATTATTATTATTATTATTATTATTATTATTATTATTATTATTATTATTATTATTATTATTATTATTATTATTATTATTATTATTATTATTATTATTATTATTATTATTATTATTATTATTATTATTATTATTATTATTATTATTATTATTATTATTATTATTATTATTATTATTATTATTATTATTATTATTATTATTATTATTATTATTATTATTATTATTATTATTATTATTATTATTATTATTATTATTATTATTATTATTATTATTATTATTATTATTATTATTATTATTATTATTATTATTATTATTATTATTATTATTATTATTATTATTATTATTATTATTATTATTATTATTATTATTATTATTATTATTATTATTATTATTATTATTATTATTATTATTATTATTATTATTATTATTATTATTATTATTATTATTATTATTATTATTATTATTATTATTATTATTATTATTATTATTATTATTATTATTATTATTATTATTATTATTATTATTATTATTATTATTATTATTATTATTATTATTATTATTATTATTATTATTATTATTATTATTATTATTATTATTATTATTATTATTATTATTATTATTATTATTATTATTATTATTATTATTATTATTATTATTATTATTATTATTATTATTATTATTATTATTATTATTATTATTATTATTATTATTATTATTATTATTATTATTATTATTATTATTATTATTATTATTATTATTATTATTATTATTATTATTATTATTATTATTATTATTATTATTATTATTATTATTATTATTATTATTATTATTATTATTATTATTATTATTATTATTATTATTATTATTATTATTATTATTATTATTATTATTATTATTATTATTATTATTATTATTATTATTATTATTATTATTATTATTATTATTATTATTATTATTATTATTATTATTATTATTATTATTATTATTATTATTATTATTATTATTATTATTATTATTATTATTATTATTATTATTATTATTATTATTATTATTATTATTATTATTATTATTATTATTATTATTATTATTATTATTATTATTATTATTATTATTATTATTATTATTATTATTATTATTATTATTATTATTATTATTATTATTATTATTATTATTATTATTATTATTATTATTATTATTATTATTATTATTATTATTATTATTATTATTATTACCATTTCTTGCGCATTACGGTTCGAACACTCGAACACCTATACGAATTCTCCTGCACAGTGGCAGATATGTAAATACGGGGTTTACATACCATTTCTTGCGCATTACGCACTACAACAAAAAGTGTCTTTGGAGACGAAAACTAATGACGAAAATAAATTTTGTCACGAAAGACATACCATTTAGTGAAGAAAATAATTTTTCGTCTCCAAATGTACCATTTTTAGAGACAAAAATAAAATTTCGTCACCAATCTGCATACATAATAAAAAAATTAGGTGACAAAATTATTTTTCGTCATTATTTATATTTTTTTTGTCACTAAAGATTTTCCCGCTAATTTTTCGGATGGTGCCAAATTTTCAGACTTTTGGTGAGGAAAAAATTGGTCACCAATAATAAAATTATTAATGACGAATATATTTTCATCACCAATAATTTTTAATATTTTAATATTATTTAGTGAGAAAACTATTTTTGTGGCTAATAATTTTATCTTTTAGTGAAGAAATAATTTTGCCACCAAATAAATGGTTTAATTGCTAAAGGTTTTTTCGAGAAAAATGAATATATTGGCGCCTTAGATATATCAGTTCTTCTTCTCACACATAGATTTGACCACCAAACCTCATCCTACATGACCTCAATATGTTTGGTTTTATTTTCAGAAACTTGTTTCAGATTTATTTTTTTCTGAAAAACTAAAAAAAAAAATTAGTGAAAAAATAAAAAAGTTCTTATTATTTTTGTATAATTTTATTTTTAGGAAGTCATAAATAATTTTTAAAATTTTTAAAATATATTTTTAATTGTTATAGTTCTCAAATTAATTTTAATTTTGAAAAACAAAAACAAAAAATTATTTTTATTTTTAATTTCAATTTCAATTTTTTTTTGGGCGATGGGTAGTTTACCTCTCAAAATTTCCTCTTTTTTTTTCTAAGATAGGTAAACCCCTCTTTTGTTCTCTAATTTCTCTCTCTCTCTCTCTCTCTCGTTTTGAATAAACACACAAATCAGTTCAGAGAGAATACAATCAAGACCCTTTCTCAATCTCTCTACAAATTCGTGGACTTCTCTTATGGCGAGACCCAATCAAGAAGCAATCGAGACCTTCATGAGCATCACCGCGCGCCCGAGTCGGTTGCCTTGTAAAAACTCGAGGTGAATTTTTAATTTTTTCATTTTCCCCCATCATTTAGCTATCGAAATTCACGATTAATGTGATTGTTTGTCCTAGGGTTTTGTATTGGAGTTTCAATATTTTGTTCATGTGTTGCATTGCGTGTTGGGTTGTTGGAATTAGCTTAAAGTTAGGGGTTTTTTTTATAATTAAAAAAACTGCTTCGATTGTGGATTTAGTCTGTGAGTGCTGTTCTATTCTCATTATCATTTGTAAAGTGATTAATTTTCTAAAACCATCTTTCTGGTGCTGAGGAAACTCAGTAGAACTGTAATTTTCAATCTTCATCGTGTTTTTTTTTTTTTTTTTTTTTTTTGGGGGGGGGGCCCCCCTTGTCTCTAAGTCAAAAGAGTTATTTTGGGCTCAGTCAAGAGGAGGTGTATTTTTCCCAGCTCGTTATTATTGTGAATTGAAGATTCCAAATTTTGAATGACCATATTTTATATATTCTGGGCAAGCCAATTTTAGCATAAGCTTCATGTGGTCGTAAATGAATGCTTTTGTTATCCTGAAGGATTAATTTGCATTATAGATAGCTCAAGGGCATTGATGTCACAGTATTTACTAATTGATGGTGGATGTCTTTGGAATTGATTACAGCTTTTCTTTTCTTTTCTTTATGGTTTGTTATTTATTAGGGTCCTTGTTTATGAAGGTGTGTGACTATATGTGAACTACCACAACCATCCTTTATCGGGTCGAATTATGTCACAGATAAGCCAGTAAGCATGACTGTAGTAGATTTAGAATTGGTAACCACTCAGCATGTTTGGGATTGTTGGATATAGTTAGACACATTTTATGATTCTTATGTTTAGTTTTGTTGGATATTTGAATAAAATTTGGGATATTGAAATGCATTTGATATTAATTTGGTTACATTAGTAATTGTTATGATGTGTTAAGCTTAGTTTATATTATTTGGTTTGGATATTATAAACTTGGAATTCAGTTGTCCCCCGTTTTAATTCTATTTTGTCCACCATTTTAATTCTATTTTGTCCATTTCTTGGACTTGGCATGGGAGATCTCAAAATCATGATTGGCATGCAAACATGTCGGAATCATATCATATTTGAACCTAGAGAGGGAGCTTTCATATTTGTAGGGACCATTCAACATCCACATGCGTATATGTATTTGTCCACAGACAATCAACGATGAGTCAATTGCATGTCTATATGCATGTGCATATGTTTGCCTTTTTAAATTTTGTTTTTGGTATTAATTTGTTCACCTTCTTTCTTTATTTCTTCATTCCATCTCTTTCTTAACTTCTGTTTTCTCTGTTTCGGCAACTATTGACTTTACAGCAAACTCTTCTAGCTTAGGTTGGTCGGCAACCACCAACTCGGTAAGTGATTTTACGTTTAAATTTGTTTGGTAACATAAGCTAACTTCAAGCTTGGCAATCTTATCATTACTAGTTCCTTTATCAATGCACACTTATTTTTTATATAGCAGTACACAATTTTTGACACAATCACTATGCCCATGTTAGTGTCTAGATTATTTGAACTTTGCCATGATGGTTACCTCATTTGTTGCTGTTGTGGAGGTTTGTTTCTCCTCTTGATAGAATAAACTGATGACCAAAGTGCATTCTCATTGCCATTGTTATGTTGATATACTTTTTGATGACTTATTGGTGGGGAAACTCAACCATTTTTGGTCAAAGGCTCGAAAATTTTGAGAATATGGAATTTTTTTTTCTTGCAGGATGGTACGATTCTTATTCCAATGCTGTCATCCTTGTCCAAAACTAAGGTACACTTCACATTTTTCTTCCTTCTATGTGTAGTTTTTGCTAGTCATAATTGTTATATTTTCTCATATATAAACCAGGTATTGAGCTTTTTCTAAAATACCCAGACTCATTAAAGTGATGGTACAGCGCTATGACAAAGCTCTAAGAGGCCAAATGGAATACATTGTCAACTTGTCTAGGCCTGGTGCCTTATCCCCATTAGACGAGGCCTTTTATGATTGGTCTCAGCATAAAGCCTCTCATAAAACTGAATCACTTTGCTCTTAATCCCCTCCCTCCTCTCCTCCCCATTAATTTCTAAACTTTTACATAGTTTTGTGTCCTATGGGTGTTAGTCAATTTGTGAAAGAACTGAATATTCCTGTCATAAAGCCCTTGCCTTCTGCCTCCATCTAATTTCTTCCATATGAACAATGTGTCCCAACTCCATTGTGACTTATTCCCTTCCTACTCATTATTTAAAAACTTATGTCTCAATACCAATACAAAAGGGATAGGGAGAAAACTGATATAGTGAATGACTTTCCATAACTGGTATAGTAAAAAATTATAGTGAATGACTAGCGTCAAGGTAAAATGTTTTATATATGTTGATTGTCAAAAATTAAGTTTCTTCTTAATAATGTTATATTTTCTTGTTTTTGTTGGTGTTTCAATTGTGTAGGAACAATCAGTAGCTAATGTGAATAATATGATGCAAATGAAGACAAAACATCGATGTGGATCAAAATCAATCCTGGTCAGGGTATACAGCTCGGTGCGTTCTACTAATTTATTTTGTTGGATTAGTAGGCTTTGTTAGTATATTATGTTTTTGTGTTAATTTAGTAGAAATTTCTTAATCAACTAGGGTAGAATAAAAAAAAAACTTTGACATTTAGGGGCGAAAGGTCACAAAAAAATAGTGAAATATGCATATAAAGATCCGAGAAACATCACAAACACCTTGAGACGGAGCAACATAAGTTGTGCAAACGTATGAAAGAAGCGCGTGGCTCCCAATTTGAAAACTACTTTGAAATTTGCACTATTTCAACACGTAGGCATGAAACTAAGTAAAAAAATGAACTTTTCCAACGCGTAAGCTTGAAAATAGGCCATCGGAGGGCTAAATCGTGTAACAGCCACGAGACGGCCCAGGTAACCCCTCAAACACATTGGGAGGGACCAAAGTAAGTTGCAAAAACTTACGGAACTAGCACGGGACTCCCGGTTTGAAAACTAAGTTCAAAAAATGCACTTTTCTAACACTTATGCTTGGAAATAGGCCTTTGGGGGCCAAAATCGTGCAACAGCCACGAGACGGCCTAGGAAACACCTCAAACACTTCAGGAGGGACCAATCTGAGTTGTAGAAACTAACGGAACTAGTACGGGACTCCCGATTTGAAAATTATGTCCAAAAATGCACTTTTTCACACTTAAGCTTGAAAATAGGCTTTCGGAGGCGAAAATCGTGCAACAGCAGCGAGACGGCCCGGGGAACACCTCAAACACCTCAGGAGTGACCAATGGAGTTGTGAAAACTTACGGAACTAGCACGGGACTCCCGGTTTGAAAACTAAGTCCAAAAATGCACTTTTTCACACTTAATATTGAAAATAGGCCTTCGGGGGCCAAAATTGTGCAACAGCCACGAGACGGCCCGGGAAACACCTCAAACACCTTGGGATGGACAAATGCGAGTTGTGGAAACTTACGAAACTAGCACGGGACTCCCGGTTCGAAAACTAAGTCCAAAACTGCACTTTTTCACACTTAAGCTTCAAAATAGGCCATTGGAGGGCTAAATCGTGTAACAGCCACGAGACAGCCCGGGTAACACCTCAAACACCTTGGGAGGCACCAATGTGAGTTGTGGAAACTTACGGAACTAGCACGGGACTCCCAGTTTGAAAACTAAGTCCAAAAATGCACTTTTTCACACTAAAGCTTGAAAATAGGCTTTCGGGGGCCAAAATCGTGAAACAGCCACGAGACAGCCCCGGGAACACCTCAAACACCTTGGGATGAACCAATGTGAGTTGTGGAAATTTACGAAACTAGCACGGGACACCCGGTTTGAAAACTAAGTCCAAAAATGTATTTTTCCACACTTAAGCTTGAAAATAGGCCTTCGGGAGCCAAAATCGTGCAACAGCCACGAGACGGCCTAGGAAACACCTCAAACACTTCAGGAGGGACCAATCTGAGTTGTAGAAACTAACGGAACTAGTACGGGACTCCCGATTTGAAAATTATGTCCAAAAATGCACTTTTTTACACTTAAGCTTGAAAATAGGCCTTCGGGGGCCAAAATCGTGCAACAGCCACGAGACGGCTCAGGAAACACCTCAAACACCTTGGGACGGACCAATAGCACAGGACTCTCGGTTTGAAAACTAAGTTCAAAATGTATTTTTTTACACTTAAGCTTGAAAATAGGCCTTCGGGGGCCAAAATCGTGCAACAGTCACGAGACGGCCTGGGGAACAACTCAAACACCTCGGGATGGACCAATGTGAGTTGTGGAAACTTACAGAACTAGCATGAGACTCCTTGTTCGAAAACTAAGTCCAAAAATGCACGTTTTTACACTTAAGCTTGAAAATAGGCCTTCGGGAGCCAAAATCGTGCAACAGCCACGAGACGGCCTAGGAAACACCTCAAACATCTCGGGATGGACCAATGTGAGTTGTGGAAACTTACAGAACTAGCAGAAAGTAGGCCTTCGGGGGCCAAAATCGTGCAACAGCCACGAGACGGCCCGGGAAACACTTCAAACACCTCGGGATGGACCAATGTGAGTTGTGACTCTCGGTTTGAAAACTAAGTCCAAAAAAGTATTTTTCCACACTTAAGCTTGAAAGTAGGCCTTCGGGGGCCAAAATCGTGCAACAGCCACGAGACGGCCCGGGAAACACTTCAAACACCTCGGGATGGACCAATGTGAGTTGTGACTCTCGGTTTGAAAACTAAGTCCAAAAAAGTATTTTTCCACACTTAAGCTTGAAAGTAGGCCTTCGGGGGCCAAAATCGTGCAACAGCCACGAGACGGCCCGGGAAACACTTCAAACACCTCGGGATGGACCAATGTGAGTTGTGACTCTCGGTTTGAAAACTAAGTCCAAAAAAGTATTTTTCCACACTTAAGCTTGAAAGTAGGCCTTCGGGGGCCAAAATCGTGCAACAGCCACGAGACGGCCCGGGAAACACTTCAAACACCTCGGGATGGACCAATGTGAGTTGTGACTCTCGGTTTGAAAACTAAGTCCAAAAAAGTATTTTTCCACACTTAAGCTTGAAAGTAGGCCTTCGGGGGCCAAAATCGTGCAACAGCCACGAGACGGCCCGGGAAACACCTCAAACACCTCAGGACGGACCAATGTGAGTTGTGGAAACTTACGAAACTAGCACGGGACTCCCGGTTTGAAAACTAAGTCCAAAAATGTATGTTAAATTCTATATGTTATGGATAAAATAATAGTTGTCTAACTGACATTTTTTTTTTTTGTGTTTCATTTTTTTGCAGATTCGAGATTTGATATGGACGTGTTTGGTAATTTGGAGGGCCGATGGTAGCTCATTTTGTGTTTTGGTCATATTACCTTACATGTATTTTGGTTGTGTTGTAAATTTTATATTTTTATTAGTATTACGGGGCATGTTTGGTAATCTGCCCTTGATATTTTATTTTTGTTGATATTAGTAGACATGTTTTTTGTTGGATATTAGGAGATGTGTTTGGTAATCTGCATACGGTTGATATTATATTTTTGTGGATATTAGTAGTTTTTTGTGGATATTAGGAGACATGTTTATAATCAGCATGCAGTTCATATTGTATTTTTGTGGATAGTGCTAAAATTCGATTGTGATGTTTATGAAAATGAACAGATTTTTCTATTGGTTTGTAATAAATATTTTATTGAACAGGTTATTGAAATGCGCAGGGAATTGTTACTGAAAAGAAAAAATTTCGAAAGAAAATAGTACACCTATTTTCAAAAATTTTAAATTTTATTAGTGACGAAATAAAAAATGTCGCTATTAGTTTTCAAAAAACATGACGAATAATTTTGTCACATTTGCTGAGTATTTCGTCGCTAAATTGAAATATTTGGTAACAAAATATTATTTGTCATTGAATAATTTTCTTTTTTGCTCATTTTAGTAACGAATTTTTTTGTCACCTTAATCTATATCATTGGTGATGAAAACTTTCGTCACTAAAATATATTTGGTGACGAAATATTTCGTCGCAAAAAATAATTAAAATAAAATATTATTTAGTTTTGGTGACGAAATTGGTGTTTTAGAGGACGAAAAATTTAACATTTGGAGATGAAACATTTCGTCACCAAAAATGAAAAATAGGTGACGAAACTGTTTTTCGTCACCACGTACTTTTTGTGACGACGTATAGGCCACGAACGTGGTGACAAATTTTTTTCGACGAAATTTTGATGTTTGGAGACGAAATCAGTTTGTCACCAAAGGCCCTTTTTGTTGTAGTGGTGGCATCTGGGCCTTTTCTCAAAGAC